GTTGAACAAGACACTCTTAAATTAGGGTAAAGACCCTATGTCCTTGTTTGTCTCTATATCTCCTGAACTGAGCATATTTACTGGTTGGAAAACTTCTTTATAATTTCAAAACCCCATCTCTGTAGCGCTTGACTGTCTTCTGTTGACAGATGACCAATGACCTTATCAACCCCTTGAGTGTGTTCCCTTTGTTGCCAGAATCACCAGCCAATAGTCTGGGGAAGGGTTAAAAGTCGGAACTACAGAGAAAATAAATGGAAGAAACATAAAAAGCAACCCTCTATCTCAACACAAATAAATCACAGAAAGTATGCAGCAGTGTGCTACCTAATAGGTTCATGAATGTAATCATAGTTGTTATCACATATTTGCTGAACTTCAAAGGTGGTAGTCCCACTTTTTTTTTTTATGAGAAAGTTCAGAAGAAAAAATTCTTTACAGTCTGGCTGTTTTTCCAAAGCAGTTGATCTTGAGGCATCATCAATTTGCAAAAGAGATCCTTGGCTTGCTTCCTTTGCTTCCTTTTCTCCCTCTTCTTCAGCACATTCTGTTGGTTTGGCCACTGAGCAGACTGAAAAGTCTAAAGGGAAGAGACCTGGAAATCAGAGAGGTGATTCCAGCCAAAGGACTGTTGAACATAGAGGGATTGGATATGGCCTCAGCTGTCATTGGAGAAAACAGGGAAAAGTAAGCAAGAGGGAGGCGCTTGTCAATATGATCTTTTCTGATTGTAAACCTCAGATATCAGGTCTCTGGTGTGTAACAGACCTGAGAGGCCCACCATGTGGAACATGTTAACGATGTGAGGTTACCTAAGACTGCTCTTTTATCTGTTAGACAACAAATTCACTTTAAAAACCTTAAGATAGGGATGCCTGTGTGGCTCAGTGGTTGAGTGTCTGCCTTCAGCTTGGGGTATGATCCTGGAATCCCGGGATCGAGTCCCACATTGGGCTCCTTGCAGGGAGCCTGCTTCTCCCTCTGCCTATGTCTCTGCCTCTCTCTGTGTGTCTCTCATGAATAAATAAATAAAATCTAAAAAAAAAACCCTTAAAATAAAATTTTCCAAAACTAGGGTAGGATGATGATGAATAAGTAAGCAATATATTGCTCACGATAGGCTTTTAGTAGATGTCCAAGTGGCCAAAGATGTTAATGGGTAGTTGGCAAAGACTCCTATAAGAGAAGATGAGGGTAGAAATGACTGGCCCAGGAAAGGGGACTCAGACTGCTACAGGTCAGAAATTCTGTGACCGGAAAAGATGAAACCAAAGGGAAACTGAAACTCCTCTGAGACCTGAGTCAAGAAAGGCACCAGCAGCTATAGAAACAATTCCCGAGTCTCCAGAACTAAAGGATTCCTTTCGTCTTCAGAATCTTGATTTTACATTAGGTTGCTTTTCTAAATTTTAGGCTGGCTAAAATTCATGAAATCATGGCACAGTAATAAAACATAGGGTGAAAACTTACTCCTTTATTTATAAATTCAATGCATGCAAATTGAGATCTTACCATGCAATAGGCATTATCCTAAGCACTGGGACATTGAGGAACATGGGATCCAAAGTAGACATGCTGCTGGTGGAAAGAGGTGGATTATCTAATACTTACCTTACCATGGCATGTCACCAAATCCTGATATCTAGGACTAGTACTTTCTAACAATTAGATCTATCCAATGAAGCCTACTGGAGTTTGAGGACAAATAAGATGTGGCAGATAGTAAACAAATAGGATTAATTTTTCTAAAAAGATATATACTTTGAATGTATAAGTAGGTTCAGGAAGTGTCTGGGATAAATCCAAGAGAGGTAGATCCACAGCAAAGTGTGGTGAGAAACGTGTGGTCTTAGTCGTTATTTTTCAATAGTTGGGACCCCTCCTCCATAACTCCACCACCAAAATGAATGTTGTGACAGATCCCTGGACCGTAGCTGTGTCCACATGTGGCATCTGGTAAATTGCATTCTTTTTTTTTCTTTTCTTTTTTTTTTTTTAATTTTTTAATTTTTATTTATTTATGATAGTCACACACACACACACACACACAGAGAGAGAGAGAGAGAGAGAGGCAGAGACACAGGCAGAGGGAGAAGCAGACTCCATGCACCGGGAGCCCGACGTGGGATTCGATCCCGGGTCTCCAGGATCGCGCCCCGGGCCAAAGGCAGGCTCCAAACCGCTGCGCCACCCAGGGATCCCCATTCTTTTTTTTTTTCAAAGGTTTTATTTATTTGATAGAGGGAGAGAGAGAGAGCACAAGTAAGGGGAGTGGTAGGCAGAGGAAGAGGGAGAAACAGGCTTCCCAATGAGCAGGGAACCTGATGCAGGGCTTGATTGCAGGACCCTAGGATCATGATCTGAGCTGAAGGCAGGTTCTTAATTAACTGAGCCACCCAGGCACCCCTGTATTTACATTCTTAGCAGTTAAGGAAAGTCTTCCTGGTGAGGATGTGGAAAGTGTGTGTCACTGTCACCATTTACTCATTGCTAATGGAAACAGAGGGTAAAAGTTTCATCAGAGATTTCAGCCTAAGGTCAGAAAGAACTTTCTAACATCTGTTAGAAAACTGAATGTTTTCCTTGGGAAATACCCCAACAGAGGCTGGGTAGCCATCCAAGGTTAGAGGTAGAAGTAGGTAGAAGTAGCTGATACTCAACTCAGTATATATAACTCAGTCTTTCTGTTGGATTTTAGATTTGGACATATGGGTAAGTGGTTACTATCCTACACAGAATTGACAGCTTAAATAAAATTATACCTAGGGTGTCTGAGTGGCTCAGTTGGCTAAGCATCTGCATTTGGTTCAGGTCATGATCCCAGGGTCCCAGGATCGAGCCTGCTTAGCAAGGAGCCTGCTTCTTCCTCTCCTTCTGCCTGTAGCTCCCCCTGCTTGTGCTCTCTCTCTCTCTGTCAAATAAATAAATAAATAAATAAATAAATAAATAAATAAATAAATAAAATCTTTAAAAAATTATTAATACCTTTGCCGCAGTCTTTTTTGCCTGTTATGAAAACAAAATCAAAGTTTTTTCTACTTCTTGAATAAACAGAATATGGGCAATGTATCAGTGTGTAACTGTTACTTCAGTCTTTTGCCACCTTATTGTGAAATGAGAAGGGACTGTTCTTTGTCCTTGAGTTAATATTTTGTCCCTCGTTGGTACATGTTCCTGGGAAGAATGGAATAGGAGGTGAACAACAAAGCCCTTGCCATTTGCAGTGAGCCTCCCATACCATTAAAGGGAATCCTAAGATGTTCTGGTGGGCAGCCAACATTCCAAAACAAGGCAGTGAGATCCATGTCTGGCCTATCTCTTTCTTATATTCTTCAAAGCTCGGCATGGCTTTATCTGCCTATCCCCTTATTATTCTGAACTCCCTAATTGCCTGGACACTTTCTCTCTACAAATAGTTGCATGTACTGTATTCGGCATTAATGTAGTTGACTATGTGGACATGTCTTCTATTCCTACTTTTAACAGATTAACAGCTAATAAACACCATGCAACACCCTCTCTTCTCAACCTCTTCTAAAAATACAGAGTTTGATTTGCCAACATTGGTGTATTTAAAGCCTCCAAGATTCCAGGGAAGACTTTAGAAAGTTAACTGTGCAAGTAAAGTCTGTTAAGAGAGGAAATTTTCCAACACAAAGAGCCAATCAGTGTATCAGTAGCTCATCTGAGAAGAACCTCAGGGGTTCTTATAGTTGTTCATAGGAAAGAATATTTGTTCTCACCTGAAATAAAACTTCTCACTTTATTCTTGGCCTGCAGGACTGAAGAGATCTTTGGAAATGTATTGTCTAGGGAGAAGGACAGGCAACATAAGTTTCATCTCAAGAGGGAATGCTTATCTTTTGCAGGATGGGACACCATGTTACCTTCTAGTAAATTGGCAGTGAAGGGACAATGACACCCACTCTTCTCTGCCCTCCTTGTCCTACGGTCTCCATAGGCCCTTTACTTCCACTCCCTCCAGTTAGTGAAGGCAAGTGAAGCAGTTAGTTTTAAAGAAAAGTCAATAATCAGAGGCTGTGTTCAAAGCTTTAAACAAAGCCCCCAACTAATGCTCTGTTTTGAGGATATGGAATATCCACAAGAATATGACCTCTGAGATAACTTGGAGAGTTATGTTGAAATGATATCCATTAGTACCTCATACATATGCTAGAGAGAGAACTTATTCAAGGGTATATCAGGCAGTATGTACATATTTTAATTAATAGAATCTCCAGTATCGATGAAACAGAAGCCTTAGTGTATTTGTAAAATACTGGATGTTTTCTGAGGTCTGACAGTCTCAGGTATGTGACCCTCAAAGGCCAGCTTGATTATCAGATTATAAAATACAGATAAATATTTACGGAAATGTGTTGGCCTTTTTGCCTGAGGTGTAATTTCTGGGCCAAGCCCTTTTCTTTACCTTCAGGTGGGTATTTTTTGTCGCAACAGAAACTCAGGCATGTTTGCTTGCTCACCTCTTCTTTTATTTTATTTCTGTTGATTTAAGACAACTGTAAAGCCACAGCAATTTCACAGTTTCATGGACTCCTCATACCCATTGCTGGAGTTGACTCTGTTGCAAGCTGTGTCTATGTGCTGTGGTAATAATGATATTGTACTGAGCTTGAGAAGCAGTCAGTGCTACTCCTGGCTCAATTCCATTCATGATATTAGTGACTCTGACCTTTAACAATTAATAGTGTTTTTTTTTTCATGCAGTCTGGAACCTTCTTGGAAGAAGGCTTAGAGTTAAATTTCATCATAGTTGTGACTTTCTGCCAAATAATCTGAACTGCGTTCATTTCTTCTTCCTTATGCATATCGGTGTCATCGGTACCTTGTGCTCTTCTAGACTGGTTTACCCGGTGGTGATGTCGGTCAGTGCCTACATATATACCACTTGTCAGACAAACCACCACAGGATCTTTAAAAAAGTCAGTGTGTTTCTTGGCAGTATTTACAACCTCCTCTGTTGGCTTTTCTCTCTGCAGAACTGGCCTGGAAGCCATTATGGAGACTTATGCATTCTGGAGACCCCCTGTGCGCACACTCACCTTTGAGGATTTCACCACCATGCAAAAGCAGCAAGGTAGAGTCCTGGGGTCACACTAATTCTTCTAGAATGAAGAGTACCTGGTAGATCTGTTAATAACCAAAGCATCACCACTTGTGCGAACAGACCTGCCCCAGAAGCAGGATTCTCTCCCGCTTCCGAAAAGCAAGGTTATGTTCATGATTATGATGGCAGTGAAATTTTTATTTCTTTGCCTAAGCATTCACGTAGCCCTTGGTATTTTTTTTTTTTTTTTGCTGAGACATGCAGAGAATTTTTATTTATCACGTATGTTAATTCTTATATTTACTTGCAGAACAGAGTCACAGATAGAAGTGCAGGCAAGGTATTAGTAGGGTGCAAGGGTCTAGTACACAGTAGGTGGTTCAGTTAAGGGCTTGTCAGGTAGTTCTCAAACGCCAACTTTTGGTACAGTAAATGGTCACTTTTACGTAGATGCCTTTGGATTGCTGTTACACTAAGTTTTTGCCAATGAAGGTTTTCATGTCATGTATTTTTTTTGTGGGGTTTTTGTAAATTGTTTTTGTTTTTGTTTTTTTGAAATTTTTTTTTGGTTTTCGGTTATCTTTAGAGGTTAGGTGGTAGGGCCCCATCCCCCTCCCCCCCACAACAGAATAGTATTCTTATTAGAAGTTCCTAAGACCAGGCAATTCCAGCATGCAAAGTGTGATAGGACATAGCCAGGAAGATGAGAAACTGTAGCCATCACCTAGGGATAATATATTCCACCGCTGTTGCTCCTTGCAGCTTGAGGGTCCTCTTCGCTGCCCTCTCCATTAAACCCATTAACATGCAGGATCCTCATCTGCTTCACAATGGTGCTTTTACCAGATTCTCCAGCACTTCATTGATTCCTCATGGCAAAAACCTTATTCTGGTTTTATAGAGGAGAGAAAAACCTCAGTCCGAACAATGGAAGTGGATTGCTCAGGCCCTACAGTGAGGAGGGGACTTCTGGGAGCCCATCTGAAGCTTGCAACTTGCTCCCTCAACACTTGTCTCAAGCTGATGGGCTGGGTGAACTTCTTCCTTGCACTGCTTTGTGCTTTTCTTCCCGTTTCTCCTTCTCTGGCAGCTCAGGTGGGGAAGCCTGTAGCCTTAGCACAGATGGCTTGTGGGCTGACCTCACTTCTCTTCCTCAGTCTGTGCTCTTCCCATGGCAGCACCCTTTCAGCTCAGGAAGCTTCCCAGAGTGTCAGACACTTTTTGAGTCTCTTTATGCAACCTCCTCCCACCCCGAGGTGACACTTACATACAGAGCTTATTCTGTTCTGTCACAAGGCTGCCATTAACAGAACCCTAAGTTTTCAAATTGTGGCTCTGCTGTATGGGAAACCCTTCTAGGACTTGATAACATGTGACATTACGTTGCCCTCCCAGAGGAGCTTCCAGGAGTCTGCACACTAAATTAGGTTCTGTAACCTAAATTACTGAAGTCTCTCGGGTTTTAAAATGAAGAAAAGGTGATTAAAAGTATAGGCTCTGGGATCAGACCACTTGGCTTAAGCTCTTTTCTTTTTTATTTTTATTTTTTAGGATTTTATTTATTTATTCATGAGAGACACAGAAAGAGAGGCAGAGACATAGGCAGAGGGAGAAGCAGGCTCCCTACAGGGAGCCCGATGCGGGGCTTGATCTCAGGACCCTGGGATCACGCCCTGAGCCAAAGGCAGATGCTCAACCACTGAGCCACCCAGGCACCCCTTGGCTTAGGCTCTTATCACTGCTCCTTCCTAGCTTTGTGACTTTGGCCAAGTCCCCTATCCTTTCTGACACTTCGTTTTCTCATCTGCAAAATGGAAGATTGTAATAGAATTCTTGTGAGGATTAAATGAATGCATTTAAAAATGGAGTAAGCGCTCAGCAATTGTGGTGGTGATCATCATCATATCACCACCATGACCACTATGACCACATCATCTGTACCACTGCCCCCCGACCCCGCCCCCCACAATGGCCCTGGATGTGGATACCTGAGGAAGATGCATCAGCAACAAGAGATACTGCTTTTCTGATGATTAGCTATTTAAAACAGGATTAGACCATCTTCACAAGGATCTGGGGAGGCAGAAATTACATCTAGTGTTTGTTTGTTTTTTTAATAAATAGAGGAGAAAGGGAAGCACTCTGTATGAAGCAACTTTCTTCTCATAATTCTGAGAGAGAAGCAGGGTCAGTTCATATTCAGAGTGTTGCTCTCACTCTAAGGCCCTTGTGGCCCTAGAGAGGCAGAGGTTTTATGACAATTTGGAGATCTGGGCCTTCAACTTGATTCTCTCTATAACCTTGGGGAAGTTACTTCTAGTGAGTCTGTTCTCTCACCTACCAAAGAGGGGTACATTTTGTGTGAGGTCATTTTCATGCAAAGACACTTACTTGATTCTGTTTATTTCTGAGGTGGCTTCTTGCTTCTCTGTCCTTGCTTTACTGGTTGACCTCCCAAGCTCTATCTAAGCAGGAGTTTGTATCGTGGAGGCTGGCATGAGAAGATTGGTGGGGATATTGCCAGTTGCCAAGAACAGGCACTGGTGGTAACACTGTGTTTACTGCTGTCTTCTCAAGAACTGTCACAGGGCCTTGCACCCAGGTACTTCTTAATGTACCTAATGAAATGAAGTCACTTGGTGGCACTGTGGCTCAGGTAGGCAGGGTCACTGATACATGTGTCTGGAGCACAACCACCTAATATGTGTGTGGATATGGATGTGGAGTGATGATTGTTTGGAGTTGGCAATCTACATTTCACTGGCATGTGGGGCGGTTGAGCAGGAGCAGGCACGGAGTACTTAAGTGTGTAGCATGGCAGGTTTCACAGGGCTTCTACTGAAAATTTGTCCATATGATAAATTTAGTGTTGACCCTTGGAAAACAGTGGTTTAAAAGAAACTGAACTTTCTTTTTTAAAATTTCTTATTTCTTTTATTTTGGATTGCTTATTTTATTTTTTGTATATTTTTTATTGGAGTTCAATTTGCCAACATATAAGCATAACACCCAGTGCTCATCCCATCAAGTGCCCCCCTCAGTGCCTGTCACCCAGTCACCCCACCCCCCTGCCCAACTCCCTTTCCACCACCCCTTGTTCGTTTCCCAGAGTTAGGAGTCTCTCAGGTTCTGCCACCCTCTCTGATATTTCCCACTCATTTTCTCTCATTTCTCTTTATTCCCTTTCACTATTTTTTTATATTCCCCAGATGAATGAGATCATATAATGTTTGTCCTTCTCCAGTTGACTTACTTCACTCAGCATAGTACCCTCTAGTTCCATCCACATTGAAGCAAATGGTGGGTATTTGTCATTTCTAATGGCTGAGTAATATTCCATTGTATACATAAACCACATCTTCTTATCCATTCATCTTTTGATGGACACTGAGGCTCCTTCCACAGTTTGGCTATTGTGGACATTGCTGCTAGAAACATTGGGGTGCAGGTGTCCCGGTGTTTCACTGCATCTGTATCTTTGGGGTAAATACCCAGCAGTGCAATTGCTGGGTCACAGAGTAATTTTATTTTTAACTTTTTGAAGAATGTTTATTTTTATTTTTAATTTTCTTAAAGATTTCTTAAAGATTTTGCTTATTTATTTGAGAAAGAAAGAGAAAGCACATGAGCAAGGGAGAGGCAGAGGAAGAGGGAGAAGCAAACTCCCTGCTGAAAGGAGAGCTCAATGTGAGGCTGAATCCCAGGATCCTGGGATCATGACCTGAGCTGAAGGCAGATGCCTAACTGACTGAGCCACCCAGGCACCCCTATTTTTAAAAAAAATTTAATTTAAATTTTAGTGAACATACAATACAATATTGATTTTTGGAGTAGAATTCAGTGATTCACCAATTACATAAACACCAGTGCTCATCACAAATGCCCTCCTGAATACCCATCACTCATCTAGCCCCTCCCTTCGCCCATCTCCCTTCATCAACCCTCAGTTTATTTTCTATTGTTATGAGTCTCTTATGGTTTGTTTCCCTCTTTTTTTTCTTTTCTTCCTTCCCATATGTCCATCTATTTCCTTTCTTAAGTTCCACATGAGTGAGATCATATGGTATTTGTCTTTCTCTGACTTTTTTCCACTTAGCATTATACTCTCTAGCTCCATCTATGTTGTTGCAAATGACAAGATTTCATTCTTCTTGATGGCTGAATAATATTCCATTGTATATATATCACATGTTCTTTATTCATTCATCAGTTGATGAAAATTTGGGCTCTTTCTCCAGTTTGGCTATTTTTGATAATGCTCCTGTAAACATTGGGGTGCATCTACTCCTTCAAATTTGTATTTTTGTATCCTTTGGGTAAATACCTAGTGGTACAATTACTGGATCACAGGGTAGTTCTATTTTTAACTTTTTGAGGAACCTCCAAACTGTTCTTCAGAGTGGCTGCACCAGTTTGCATTGCCACCAACAGTGTAAGAGGGTTCCCCTTTCTCTGCATCCTCGCCAACACTTGTTTCTTGTGTTGTTGATTTCAGCCATTCTGACAAGTGTGAGGAGATAGGTCATTGTGGTTTTGATTTGTATTTCCCTGGTGATGAGTGATGATGAGCATCTTGCCATGTGTCTGTTAGTCATCTGAATGTCTTCTTTGGAAAAAGTGTCTATTCGTGTCTTTTACCCTTTTCTTAATTGGATTATTTATTTTTTGGGTGTTGAGTTTGATACGTTCTTTATAGATTTTGGTTACTAACCCTTTATCAGATATGTCACTTGCAAACATCTCCCATTCCATTGGCTGCCTTTTAGTTTTGCTGGTTGGAGAAACTGAATTTTTGAAGCAAAATGTCACACTTATTCAGTGACTCCATTTTTTATTAGTGGGGCGGAGGATGAACTTGGAATTATTGGATACATATGGTAGTGGGATGGGGCTAGAGGAAAAGCCAAAATTCTATTAAACTGTTTAATTGGAATACATTTTTGAACTATACACTGAACTTGATCCAGATTCTCATTATTAAAAATATGTGGCTTGGTTTCTTGACGTAAAAGAAACAACATCCACTCCCT